CCATCTGCTGTACTTAGTTCTTCACTATATATTACTGAGAAGAGCGCTCTCCTTTTAAAATGTTGGATCCGCCCCTGATTTGTAAAAAAAAACCTGCATATTTTAAAATTTTATATATCAGAACTATACTATCCGAATTGTCTTCTAAATATATTCTTATCCAATGAATGCTCAGGTAATCATGCTAAAGGTTATCATAGCAAACCCGCGTGTTCCGGACAATATATGGATATGGATATTATGATATTTAGATATTTAGACAATTCTCATAATTTTTGAAAAAGGCTGTATCCGAATTGTCTTCTAAATATATTCTTATCCAATGAATGCTCTTTTGTTTCAGCTGCCCAGCCATAAATTTGCAATTGAAATCTGCGTTTTTGTAAGTTCTTCAGACATATGGAGCCTGCATTCTTCTTGCACATGATTTTCGGGTCTGAATGTTGTTATTGCATGACGAATATCACTTCCACGACCTAAGGAAGGAACCTGGTCGTGTTTCAAGMTACGTTATTACATATCAAGTGTCAAAGTTAACTTTTCCTAGTATCTTATTGGTATCTTATGTATTGTATGTATCATTTGCCATTTTCAGTCATTTTAACAAAATCTTTAATAAAAACACTTGTTTACTTATTTACTTGTTTTGCTCTCTTTGACACCTGATATGATAATAAAGCACTTATTTACTGGAAACCTCGGGAAAAAGTATGTTTTGCGGTCCCTCGACCGCTGATGTTTACATCAGCTTCGCTTTGGGAAACATCAGCGGTCTCGGGACCACAAAACATACTGTTTCTCTCGGTTCCAGTAAATAAGTGTTAATTGTTATTAGCAATTAGAGCACAAGGTTGAGTGAAATGCAGCACATTTCTATCGTGTACTTGTTCACTTTCCTCGATGAATTATGAAAAGACCGTATTTATATTATAGATCTAGAACACTGGATTTTGGAAAATACTAAGAGGTTATTAACCGAGCGCGARGTCTGTACCGGAAAATATCAGACCGAGGTCTTGACATGAATGTGAGGACCGCATGGCACTATGATAGAAACGATATAGAAATGAAAGAAAGTTGTAGTGCTTAGAAGGAGGCAATTCCGGGAGAAAGACCCTAAGGAATAAATTCAGAAAATATTAATTTTCGACCTCGCTGGGATTCGAACCCACGACCTTCGAATTTGAAGTACCGAAGTCATTCCTAAGGGTCTTTCTCCCTGAATTGCCTCCTTCTARGGACTATATTCTTTCATTTCCATATCGAGGTCTTGACAGTACGGACCGAGCGCAGGTTAATAACWCGTTTAGTGTATGGCTTTTACATCGTAGATTATGTAGAAGGATTGCTCAAAGTATATAGGAAAAGTCTCACTGGCCGTACTGTCAAGACCTCGGTCTGATATTTTCCCGTAGAGACCTCGGGCTCGGTTAATAACCTCTTAGTATATATCCATAAGCGAAGAAAASCTTGTGGTTTTTCACATATTYAGTCTCAAGTCTAATGAGATTTTGCACAGAGCATCAATCGTTGACAGAAGACTTGGACAATTCCTGCGAATTTCCTTATTTTAAGCAACACCAGCAGACAGTTTCATGCCCCTAGCCCTGCAAATGCAATGTTGTCATTGAGCATGTCACCATAGAACGCAACCATCATATCAAACAAGGCTAAACATTGATGAAAGGGGGCCAAGGGGGATAACTGTGAAAAAATAAAGGAGAAAAATGTTAGTCTGGAGACAACTGAATAATCCTATGGTCCAAAGGTATCTCGGCAACGATTGAAGAGCTGTTGGAAACATCCTTCTTAATCGATATCTTCAAAGTCTTTCATATTTCAAACTACTTGATGTATGCTAGGATATTGGTATAAAAATAAAATTRGTCACTTTCACCGGTGAAATTCCATTGCATTTTCCRCGAGTTCMCTTCCCAACCCCCCTTTCGTACTGTACGGAATGTGTAGAAACATCTGGATGGTTATTCTGCTTAATACTCCAGTTTCGAATTCTCTTTTGTGCAAGCTTAGCTTCAATCAAGCATAAATTGTCTATTGTCTTATTTGTACACACAGTTTTTGTATTACAATAGATTCTCTGTCGAATAAAAAAATATATTACATGCTTTCGAGGTTAAGAYTGCACAAATAAGACCTCGAAACTGGAGTATTAAGTGCTTATACCAAGGGCAAATGGTCAAAGATTGTCTTCTTAATCTGAAATTGTTGAGCCCACTTCAATAAGATAGTGATCTAATAGTGAAATGATACTTTTTATTTGTCAGCACTAATGTGCTTTTTTAACCCACAATCTTATCAATATGTTGCTAATCATTATGCAGAACATATGAAAAGGCCAAAAGTGTTATTTCAGAATGAAAATCTATTTTCTTGTTCATTTTCCACAATGTAAGCAATAGATGGAATCAAGCCGCCAATGGCGACACAACTCGAAGATTGTCAGACAATAAATCTGGACATAAGTCTGTATAAAGCCTCTTACGAAGGATAAAGTTTATATGAATCGATGAGCATTAAATCACTAATCGACGTGGATCGGAATAATCCTTGAAATCATCGTAACAGCAATGCTGTATTTATGAGCCATATTCACACGATATCTCCTAAAACGACTTCTGAAATCAACAGATTCTTACACAAGAACTTCCAGACCTCAAAAATCACATTTTGTGTGTTTAAAAAGCCATTTCTGTATCAAAACACCTGCCCATCTTGGTTACGGATTTCTAAATGCCCGTATGTTTACAGAAAACAAATTAGTGACTAATTAACTAGTCCCCCTCACACATCATCTCCCTCATCTCCCTCCTATAACTCTTCGATTGCTTCGCAATCTTCGAGTTAAAAATGAATGATTAAACAAATTTATTGAATTCCGTTTTTGTGATCAAAATAATCAGGGTGTCAGCGAATGTAATCAGCATCAGTGCCTCCCAACTCTCCTAAGTCAGACACTATTGTMTGAACGTCAATTATTTTAGAAATGYTTTGTTTAAAACAWAACATTAGATTTTTTCTCGGTGAAAACCATGTTTGCTAGAGSCCTCAAATGAACAAGAGTGCCAAGTAACATCAAAATTATGACTTCTTTAGCCAACAAAAATTGTTTGTCCAACATTGCAAAGGCAKAAACAAGCTCAGAATTGACAACTTTTTGCATTGGTGCACGATTTTGCCTTGGTTTGGTGCAAAACTACAGTCTCCTTACGCAACTGGTTTCCCATCGCAAAAAGGGTTATTATGATTTTTTAAATTAGATTTCGGTATTATGCTCTCATTTTGGTGTCGGTTTACTGTACGGAAAAAATCATCGATTTTGCTACGTGTTTAACGGTTTTTTAATGCACTATTATATGCACATCTTGATGGGGCTGAAATATCTCATTCCTTAATAAGGATTCACCGAGAAGGGTTACGGTTAATCGATTTTGTGCTATGACAACCGCCCCCCTTTAATAGTCCCCCCAATCTTATATGCATGAAGACAAATCTTTTGAATATATTTGTGCACCATTGACCAAAAAGAGAGGAGACGGTTATAATTATAAACAATTACTGACGAAAAAATTATCAAATAAATTTTTTTCAGGATTCAAGTTAATCAGTTTCAAGAAGTTTRATATTGGTGCATTGCAGGGGACAACAGACTATTTTGGATATGACAAAACAGATCTTCAGCTGTCGGCTTAGAAATTAATCCGCCACATAATATAAAAAAACCCTCAAATTATAGACCTAATCGGCTAACGCATTTTCAACCCAATTCAAATCACCCAGGAGTAAGTTTCATTGTTCGTTATATTTTTATTACACAGTTGATTTGAATTTGTTGGTAACGTACATAGCAACGCGTTCGCCGATTAGGTCTATTTGGCACTCCATAATTGTTTATTACATTTCAAAACTTAATAATTACCCAAAGATGATTTCAGCTCAAGCCTCTCAATTTTAATGTAAGTTAAAGATTGATGAATTTTCGGCCAATCCCGCTCCTTAAATTCCTTGACTATTGCTTAAGCCTTAGACCCACTGCAAATTGTTCCAGTACAAATCAAAAACGGATATAAGTAGCCACGCTTCGATTGAAAGCAACGGAACTAAATCATGAAAGTCCTAAAACTCGTGATATCGCTGGAGGTGTTGATGTCTTTTATCTCATGTTTTCTAAAAAAGGGCATATGTGACAGCTCCAAAGTGATCACATACAGCTCAACCAACAAATCGTTACAAAATGACTTCAAATTTGCCAAGTTTGTCAAAATCCATGACAAGTATCTGAACGTCAAACCTTTCAAAACGCTTCAAGCCAAAACATACAAAAAGTGCCTGGTTGATTGTGCAGCAGATCAGAAATGCACTTCTTTCAACTTTGCTAAACTTGTTAATTCTGATGGACTTCATTTGTGTGAAATGCTTGATACAGATCAATTCAACGCAACCTTAAACTCGACAGAATATTACAATGACAGTGCAGACCACCAACATTTTACTAGAAAGGTAGGTAATTTGAATAAAAAAGGATGCGGCTTAAAAATCAAACACTTACAATGAAGAGTCGCGGAATTTATTCTCTTCGATCTTCCTTTTTTATTAAAACGTGAGCAAGTTTTCTTCTTTTTTTCGGTTTTAGACGGAGTGTTTATTCATGCCATGCCGCAGACAGAATCCAGACCTCCTCTGCCTTCCTGACTATGTTAGAGATAAATACGTCTGCAAAACCTGCAAAGAAGTGGGAGGTAACCTTTGCTAGTAATGCAGTACTTACGTGCCATCCTTAGTGCTTCATACCAGATCGATTATGCTCTAATTTTTTGAGTGTGCGCAAATTAAAAGGTCAAAATTGAATGTGAAAAATGTTGATACATGGATGAAAAACGTTTCATAACTTTGGTCTTTTTTTTTTCTCGGTTTCTCTATACCTTGAACAGACCATAGCTCAATAGCCAATCACAATGCTTGATTTGTGACAGTCCATAGTTTGGTGGAAATATTGATCATATTTACGAGTGTTTGATTGATATCTCACGAGTGAAGTAGCCCTCTGGAAAAAATCGCGCGCTTTAAAGTTTGTAAATTTGATGTAAATAATTTCCATTAAATTTACAGAATTTTGGACACTTACATCATATTTACATCAAATTTACAACCTTTAAAGCACGCGATTTTTCCAGTGAGCTAGCGTTTATTAGCTTGGTGGTTCGCTCTCCATTTTCTGTGAAAGTCACCTCTTGCATGCAAGTGCGATCACTCTGCTGTAACTTCAATTGTTGTTTAGCGATCGAGGGCCTGTCCGAATGGAGTGAATGGTCAGGATGCGATAGATTTTGCGACCTCAATGGTAAAAAGAGGCGTAAAAAGACCTGCAACACTAAAGCTGTCTGTAATCCATGCAATGCAATAATACAGGAAGAACAAGAATGCCATTTTTGTCCACCAGGTATTGTGTTTATAGCTAGAACTTCCTTCCATAGAACGTTTATCTATGACATGCCGGCCGGGCGGGGACGGCCGAATCTAAAATTTTCTTTTGGGTGGTATAATGTCTAGTATAACGTAGCAATGCACACACAGCATGTAAATCACAAGACTAACTTTATTACCACGATCATATCTATATATACACTCATTACTATATATCATATTACATTATGCCAGTCACGTTCCATGTTGCCATGGTTATTATACAATGGATACTACATCCCTCCCTTGTTTGAATTGAAAAGACAATCAGTAAGAAATCAATGTTTCATTCAGTTGTTGTTTTTTTTTGTTTCTTTTTTTCTTTTTTTGCATTACTGTACAGTTTTAKTCGTAGTCCAGTCGGTCAGGTGGTTTCCTACTCCAGTACTCCTCTGTGGTCTATCTGCATTCGTGACAGTTCTACCTTGCGGTATCTGTACTGCACGCCGTTGCAGACACATCTCATAATCATCATCATCATTCGAAACAGTTCCTTGAATCCTCTTTACTAGTGACACATTCCTTAAAATTGTCTCTCGGCCGTGTTGCAAAACAACACTTGGACCCTTTCTTTCAGTGACTGTATATGTCTTGGTACCATAGSAAGTTGCCAACTTATTATCCTTTGCTTGACGTACTAGCACTACATCCCCCACTTGAATGTCGGAAACAACAGCATTGCGCTTTTTATCTGCGTACACCTTCATCCGCTGTTTCATTTGTTGATCTCTCTCTTGTGCGGTTTTTAATGCGTTTGACAGCACACTGGAACACTGCATTTCAACTTGTGGGACTTTTGTGCGGATTTCCCTTCCCAGGTGCAATAGCGCTGGTGACACTCCTGTCGATGAATGTGGAGTCGAACGATAATTTAAGAGGAAGGTAAAAATTTCATTCCGCCAGTTCTTCCCCTCCGCATGTAGAGCACGAATTGCTTTTCCAATGGYACGATTGAACCTTTCCACTTCCGCATTCGCTTGAGGCCAGTAGGGTGTTACCTTGCGGTGTTGTACACCATGAGTCGTCAAGAAGTCCTCAAACTCCTGAGAAACTAGGTTCGATCCATTGTCGGTAATCACCTTGTCAGGTAATCCATAAGATGCARATATTTTGCGAAGATGTCCGATGATAGCGGCAGAAGTCGTGGATTTCAAGATGACCACCTCCGGCCATCTAGTGCACGCGTCTTYGCACACAAGCAGGGTTTCACCTGTGGGAAATGGCCCACACAGGTCTATGTGAACTTCCTGCCATGGYTSCGCAGGCATAGYAGTGGGTCTCAGTKGCTCTACSGCTGACTTKGTATGTGTAGCAGCCTGACACGGTATACACGCTTTGATCATTGTTTCCACGTGCTGCAGAATTCCTGGCCACCAAACCTTCTCACGAATCATCTGTTTGTTTCCCTGCCCCAAGGATACCTTGCAATGTTTGTTGAATGACGTATTGATACATTTCCGGTGCAGACGAACGTCCAAAAATCAAGCGTTTGTATCGCTTGAGTCCCATGTGCGTCGAGAACGTTGTGAGCGCACGTGATTCAGGGTCAAGTTCAATTTGGTGATATCCCCATCGTAAATCAAGTTTGGAGAACACAACCGCTCCATTTAGTGCTTGCAGTGTTTCCTCTAGTGTTGGTATCGGGTGTCTTTCCCTGACCACACCTTCGTTCGCACGACGCATGTCAACACACACCCGAACGTCACCATTCGATTTTGGAACCGCTACTGGAGGCGAGACCCAAGGTGTTGGGCCTTCGACATCCTCTATAATGTCAAGGTCTTGCAATTCTTGAAGCTTTTTCTCAACATCCTGTCGCACGTGAAATGGTATTCGTCGCTGAGGTTGGGCAACAGGAGTGACGTCATTGTTGATATGAATCTTAAGCTGATAATCTTTTAGCTTGCCGACACCAGTAAAAATACTCTCGTAGTTGTTTACAATTCGAACCACATTTAGAAGATCTGTCGTCACTTGTCGTACCATCGGTGTTTCTGGGCCGATTCGTAGTAGACCCAGCTCTATCGCAGTTTTCTTTCCAAGTAAAGATCCAGCCATAAAATTATCCACTACAACAAATTCGGCTTGTACATTGCAATGACCTGAGTCGATTGTTGACACACTGGCACAAAATGTTCCTTTGACCGGAAGCGGCGTTTTGGAACCATAGGGAAATATCTTGACACTCGTATTTCGCAACACAATGTCTCTAGTGTTTAACATATTAAACGTTTTCCCATCCAAGACATTTACGCTCGCTCCAGAATCAATGCTAAGCGGAATCTCTGTGCAGTTCACCATAATCGGCACAGTGGTATTCTGCGACCCAACCACAAACAAATATTCATCATCGGATTCATGTTCCATTGTCACACAATGAACGTCATTGTTGGCCGTTTTCGCTTGTGGTCCACTTTTACAAACCGAGGCAAAATGTCCTAATTTCGAACAGGTATTGCATTTTTTTCCGTTCGCTGGACACGATGGATTCTTCGCACGATGACCTGGACGGCCACAACAATAACATACAGCGTTTCTCCTCGTGTTAGCATTCCTTGCATTGTTGTGTTGACGAGCGTTTCCTCGCGTTTGAGACTTTGGGAAATGTTCCTTAGGTCTTTTACTCGTCATTCGGTTGACTTTCCCTGAGCCTTGTGTAGGGGCAGACTCGATCTTGCTTGCGTGTAAATCAGCCGCTTCGCCTGCTCGTGCTATCTCAAGGATAGTGTCCAAAGTAAGATCGGTTTCACGCAAAAACCGACGTCGAAGACTGTTGGATGCACATTTGTCCACAATTTGATCACGAATCATCTCTTCCGTAGTAGCTTTAAAATCGCACGACTGTGCCAGTTCCCTTAAACGCGTGACAAAAGCATCCATTGACTCAGTAGCACCTTGACAAGCTTGTCGAAATTTATGTCGTTCGAAGGAAATGTTCTTGCGAGGCTCGAAGTATTGTGTTAGCCGCGCTAACGCAGTTTTGTAATCGTCGCCAGTCTCGCTGAGCGTCTCAAACACATCCTGTACCTCAGTTCCAGCTAAATGTAGTAGCATGGCACGCATCTGTGCCTTGTCCGTAATATTGGACGCAGTCATGTAATATTCAAGAGATTTCACCCATTTAGCCCAACGTGGCCCTAAAGTGGTACGGTCAATAGAAACAGAGAATGGCACTACAGCAGGGAGCTGTAGTCCAGCCATTAGGAATTAATCCTCGTCGCCAATATAATGTCTAGTATAACGTAGCAATGCACACACAGCATGTAAATCACAAGACTAACTTTATTACCACGATGATATCTATATATACACTCATTACTATATATCATATTACATTATGCCAGTCACGTTCCATGTTGCCATGGTTATTATACAATAGATACTACAGGTGGGGAGTTGGTTATGCAAGGTGGGGTACAAACACCAAAATGGTCACAAACTAGATCAATATTGTAAATAATGCTAAGTATGGAAGAATGGGAACAAGTGTGCATCACCCGGCATCAACCCACTAGATCAGCTTCAAAAGAGTGTGTGACTTATTTTGCATGTAATTCTTATCATATTCTTGATGGAAGGCAGCTTTTTTATCCTAAAAAAGGTGGGAACTGCTGTTATTAATTGGCAAAGGAAATGAAGCACTCCGAGATGTCCGAGGAAAAATTAATTCGTCAATACCACGAGGATTGACCTCCAATTATATTCTTTCTTGCTCAAAAGCTGTCGGCAAAAATGCTCTCTTTCATAGTAGCCCCAATGCGTGATTTGAGTTTTTCTTGGAATTATGTCTAATTACTATATTGGGAAATGTCATCAGATCGACCCTACCGCTAATCAATAATTCCTAACTTAATCCGGCATGGCTGTATGTAAGTAATTCCCTGGTTTTGGAAGGGTTTATATCATCTCCTACCAACATTTTTTGCCTCAAATTATTTCCCTTTTTGGATCAAACAACAATTCGTGTTTAATTATATTTTAGAGAGCCCCATAAGAGCGGACACGGCTTATGGATATTTCTGTGTGCAACCAAAAAGTGGCGACTGTAACCCAACYCAAGACACGGTCTCTTGGAATCATGGCCTTGAGTGGAAATCTGCCGACAAGTACTGCTCAGCGGAGCACATGAAATTTCTCTTCGATGCCAGTGGAAGAATATATCATAAATGTAGTGGAAAGATTGTTTGCGAACAAGATCTGGGTAAGAACAGTAGTTTGTTCAATGTTGCATGGGTTTGGTAAAAAGCAACAGTGAGGAAAATTTAAGGCGCTGTTTTTAGTGAAAACTCAAGTAAATGTGATTTTTGAAAGAGAATACTTGTAAATCATGCCTTCCTAAATAGGTCAGGAGAATCTTTATTTTAATAACAGAGTTAAACAGTAAAGGACATAAACTGAAACGGCTACGCACCGAATTTTCATCAATATCTAGTTCAGGATCATGTATGGAAAAATTAATATGACCTAATCCACAGGCAATTTTTCCATGAAATGAAAATTTAAGGAATGCGCTTGTGAGGAAAGGAAGAAAAAAATAAATGTTCTTTGACAACGTCAGAAAGCTTGTATTTAACTGCACAAGTAGAGAGCGCCAATCACCTTGATTTGATTAAAAAACCCTTATGCAATTTTAACCTTCTTTCAGGTTCGAAATATCCCCCCATAAACCAAAGACTTATCTTGACTAACAGTTGCCCTGATGAAATCGCCAAACACAAGAGGTACGCATGTTTGTTGAAACTTTCTTCACATAAGCACTCTCCTTTCGCCCATCTTTCTACAATATTTCTTTCTCCTTATAACTACTTGCGAAAACGTTGTCATAAAAAGATAGGACATTTGTATTTGTAATAAATTAAAAAGACAAAAGAAGATCACTGAGGCTGAACGCTTTCTTTTGTCTTGTTTTAATTTATTCCTTTTTACTAAATTCGAATATTCTATTTTCTATGACAACGTTTCTGCAAGTAGGTGTATAACCAGTGGTGAAGCGATTCACAAAACCAATGACACTTTATGGCTCATATTCTGTAACTATATATAATCGATTGATCTTTGGTCCCTTTCTTTTTAATGTTATAATAATATCATGGTGCTTATTTAACATTACATGAATGTGTAGTCGAGACTGAAGAGAAGCGGAATTTTTATGATTGTTTGACTATCATCTTCACTTCATAATTATTCAATAAATTATGTCCCATTAACTAGATATCTGCAAAATACTGAATCACATGATTATCTTACGCATTTTATCAAATTTTTGATATATAACGCGCGTTCTTATTGGTCGACGACCGTGTTTATATCAGACGACAGAGACACGGCTTACTGGAAAAAATTTAGTTTTTAGCTCGAAAATCGCAAAAAAGTTTTAGAAAAGAACTATAAAACGGCAACTTGTGTCTTTGTCCTCTGATATAAACACGCTGGGAGTTGAACTGCACTCGCCGAGAAGCAAGAGAAACAGTTGTGTTTCTAAGCTTGCTTCTCTCTTGTTTTTCAACTCCCACAGTGTTTTCTATCAGAGGACGGAGACACAAGCGAGCGTTTTATATTTTTTTTAAATAAACAATCGGCGCTAAAATAGTCTGTTACATGAATGCCGTCAAGACTGTAGTGAAAGTGTTACAAAAAAAGTATTATCTTTCACCTTCATATAATGTCATAGACTTATGTCCCATTAACTTTTAACTAGATATCATATCATTTATATGATTATCTAGCCCTAAACTAGGCATTTTAAAGAACAGGTAAATCGGAAAAAATGGCATCGTTATAATGTTAAGTTACAGGAAACAACGTTCTGTTCCATTAAGCTGATAATTAAGGTGAAGGACCTTAGCGCCCTATTAGTAGTTCAAACAATACAAGCAGGATCCAAAGAGCATCTTCCACTCACAGCCATAGTTGTCTGTTAGTGTTGCTATCCACTTCAGTGATCCAAATGTTTTTGCAGCGACTGCCTGTCCTAGTTAGGACTATCGTTACCTATCAAGAAGAATTTTTAAAAAGAGGAGGGGAGGTCTTTTGCAGGTCCTGCCCCAGCCCTCACTTACGCTCGTGTTTTCTCCACTTTCTGGAATGCTATATTGCTAAAAGGAGCACGAAAAACATTAAAGTTTTGTACTTGTAAAGGGTATTATATATGTTAAACAGTTACATAACTGGTCGTGCATTGGCCTAGACGACACCCCTGCTCATGTTGTGATAAACACTGCATTTCAGACGTGTAAGCCATTCTCTTGAGCAAGTGAACAGCGGTTTTTGTGTTCATTCTATTGGTGGCATTCCAGGAGAAGGCAGAAAGCTTGTCTACCTTGATGGATGTGATGGAAACAGATTGGCACTCGAATTTTTCAAGCTGCGTAAGTCAGTCCTTTTGATGGTAAAACTTGCATGATGGATAATTTTCACGATACAAACTTCTTTCATTTTGAATTATTTAGCGGCTTTATTTAGCACTTAGACAGCTCCAACTGGAAGAAAAAAAACGATGGATTTTTGTTCCCAATAGGCAAAAACATTTTGCTTTGACATGCAACGTGTTTATATTTAAAAAACATTCAAATGTTTTTCATTAGGTTTCCGAAAACGGGAAAACATGATATCGTTAGGATTCGCTCTTTTCATTGTTTCAGGCGAGGGTCAAGGAATCTAGCTAGTGTGACTTTCTGAATTTGCTTATAATATTCATGAGCTATAGACCCTTTGCCAAAATAAGTAGCGACACTCCCGTGCACAATGTGAATTGTGAATGTCTTCATCAACAAATTCACAGTGCGAGATTCTATAATTATATATATTTATAATAAGAATTGCCCTTTTGTTTCAGCTGCACCATGATGTTTGCAAGTTCTTCCATAATACGGTGGTATTCATCTTGCACGTGACATTTCATCAGTGTAGTAACGTAGTATATACTTTTTCGATCCCCAAAAATCAACGACAATTTGAATTACTAATAATCCTTGTCAAGCCCTGAAAATATTTTGATCCTGATGGTTAAAGGGACACTGTCAATGGATGACATGCGCAGTAACAGTCTCACCTCTAGCGGACTTTGAAAGTATTACCTTCGAGGTAAATCATTTTGTGGTGCTTTTGACACACTTTGGAATATTCTAGATCTGTTTACGTTTACGAGCTGATTTATGTCGCGCCAACTTGGAGTCATAAACTCGAAAACACTAGCCTAGTGTTTTCAAGTTTACTCGCGCATACGTGCCATTGACAGTGTCCCTTTAAGGGCACTATCACATTGATACCATGCAATTCCAAAATCTGATGCCTGTGCATATAAAATGACCACAATCTGATCCCCCTTAACTAAAATGACATTGATCCCATCTGATCCCATATACATCGTTTCTACACTGTCACAGTTATCAATTCGAGCCTCATTTTTGTCATTGGCAGTATTGTCGGTGCTTGACACGCTGCTCCCTCTAAGCCCGACTTAGAATATCTATGTATAGATTCACTGATCAGGCATTGAATATATCATAATAAGGCCTCGAATCTTCCAGGTCGCTGGAAATCGTGTATATGCATAAGTGTTGTCACCTTCCATGTGGAAAATAAAGAAAAAACTGCTACAATAGTATGGATCTCAGGCATAAGCTGTGCAGTGAGCTAAATGTTTAACTTTATGCTTTGGAAATATATAACAATAAATAAACGTGATGTTGACAAATGCGAGCTTTAAATCTCGAAAACGTTTTTAATGATCAATAGACCCCTTGCAGTTCATGGGAATGCATCTACAACAGGAGGACAAAAATAAATTATCCCCAAGAAAGCAAGAAATCTTTTGTTTTGTCCTCCAGATCAAGCTGCTTTGACATCACACACACACACTGCAAGAAGTCTATATATATACTGGGTTACTACAACACGTTAATTACGCTCACATGTCAGTTGTTATGACATTCACGTAAGTCAGTGTATAGGGAATATGTCTGTATTGTTATAAAATGTAGGAATACAATGGTGCCATGCTGCGACTAATAAAATGAGAGGATCTTTCTTTAAAACACAATATCAATAATGAGCGGCTGGTTTTCTTATTGGAATAATGATTTCTAAAAAGATAGTCTGCATGGTCTGAGTATGTGTCCATAACCCTATTTGAAGTCAATTTGAATATGTTGGTTACTCTCACGGGTACTTATGAAGAAGTTAAAGCGAAAACGACACACGCCATACGAACATGCAGTTGAATCTCCTTTGAGCAACCCGGTCTGAATCTACAGCACCCTAGCATCATCACTGCATATCACTCTCTGATCTTGGTTTGCACCCAAACCAAAACTTCCTTCCATATCTCATTAATAACAATAAATTATTCATAATCATTTAATATAATTATTTATAATAATAAATTACTATGAGGGATTTTAATTTACCTTTTTACATGACAAAAAAAAAAACAATAAAAAAAGCAGAAACAAAAATACCAAAACATGAAAATATGTAAAAAGTATGTAAAACAAATTAAGATTTCCCATGGATTCACAGTCTCAGCATAGTTAACTATGGTCTCAGATTCATTTAAAATTAATCAAGTGTAACAACCAGTAACAATCAGCAATCAGTAACAATCACAAGAGAGAGCACCAATACTTAGTAGCCACGGAACTAAATCATGAAAGCGTTAAAAGTGGTGATATCGATTGAGACGTGGATTTTTCTAACTTTATGCTTTATAAAGAGGACCAAGTGTGACAACAACAAGGTGATCAAATACAGTTCAACCAGCAAATCATTACAAAATGATTTCAAATTTGACACCTTTTTCAAAATCCATGATAAGTATCTAAATGCCACAATTTTCAAAACGCTTCAAGCCAAAACGTACAAACAGTGCCTGGCTGATTGTGTAGCAAAAAAGAAATGCATTTCTTTCAACTTTGCTGAATTCCTCAGTTCCGATGGGCTACATTTGTGTGAAATGCTCGAGACAGACTTATTCAACGCAACCTCGACAAATTTCAATTACAGGGCAGACTACCTACACTTTACAAGAAAGGTAGGCAATATGATTTAGATAGATAAAGCTCCAAAGCATTGTTATAATAGCTCTAACTGCTCTATGGCGTTGCCACGTTCGTGCCACCCGATTCAAATCTTTTAAAGAAAATAAGTTTTGTCTCTAAAGGCCCGTTTATTCTTGCAATTTTTGCAGCGCCGCGATTGTCGCGCGACAATCGCCACTTTGTTCTCTCACACCTCAAATCGCACGTGTAAACAGCCCTGCGATTGTCGCGGCGATCCAAAATCGACGCGAGTTGCAGCTAAATTTCAAGCATGTTCGAAACTAAGGCGATTGTCGCGCGACAATCGCACTGTAAAAATTGAAATTGTAAACGGGCCTTAAGAACTCAACTGCGAAGTAAAACAACAATGAAACTTACAGCTCACAGATAGTTAGGTGGAAAGGTTTATATCAACCGATACCATAAGCCGATTATTTGAAGTTGTATATCTCTCTAGGATGAATTCAATTGAGTTGAACAGTCACCGTGGAACAGTTATTTTGTTAGTTTACATTAAGAGTGCGCGGTGTTATTGTTGATAAAACTATCCTCTTCCAGAAAAATCCTGGTTCCTCTTATTAAACAATTCGAACTTAATATTGATAAAGAAAAAAAAAATGTTTGTTCTCTATAAAAATTTGGTTTGATTTTATTTTATGATAAAGGATTCATAGGTCTTTGGTTAACATTTTAGACGGAGTGTTTATTGAAGCCCTGCCAGGCAGGATTCCTCTGTCTTCCAGACTACGTTGGAGACAAATACACCTGCAAAACGTGCAAAGAAATGGAAGGTAACTCAAGCCACTAATGCAGTGGCAAAATATAAAACTCAGAAAACTGAACCGCGGCAAATAACAACATAACCCGATATTGTTAAAGATTAGTTCGCCTTATTCGATGTAATTTGATCAATCTTGTGTTGAATTGAATTGGAAGGTCTTCAGATATTTTGCCAAGTAACACTCAGCGTTCCTTTACAACTGTTTTGTTTTAGTTAGTTTATTTTGAACCACTTCAAAGTACACGCGGGACATGAAGGGAAGTCACTAAGTAATTTTTGTGCAAAACGAAAATATTTTAGATTAACCAAATCCAAAACCTTGCGAAATTCCGACCAATTTGAACATAAATTTAGAGCCATATTCCCATCCTTTGTTTGGCCATTTTCGCTTTTACATACTTTTTTATTTATTCATTTATTTTTTCGTTTGATTCATTAACCAGTTTTTGTCTCATTTAATCCCCCTCTGTTTTCGTTGTTATAATCACAACAGGATATCAAGGATTTGCTTTGTTGTCTTAACGACAGCTTAGACCGCTTACAAATCTTATTTGTTTTTCCTTTCTAACGTTTTATAAGATGTAGGCATGCGCATGGGAGGTATTCAGAACTCTTCTTCCACACACGAACCAGGAGCGGGTCGAAATCAGGTCGCTATTTTCCTGTGTTGTGGTGGATATTGTAAATTTTGCTCTACGGGCTGCTATACATCTCATCACTAATCATCTATAGTCGAGCTTTACTAAAACTGCATTTTGATTACTAAGCTCGTTATACAACAAATAGCTTACAATAATAACGACATCCTTTGCTCTTACCTAACCGTATTCAGTAATGAAGTAAGTTGTTGTTTAGTGCCTGAAGGCTTGTCGGAATGGGGTGAATGGTCAAAGTGCGATAAACTGTGCGTCCCTGGTAAAAAGCGACGTCAAAAGACCTGCAGCAACGCTAAAGCGATTTGCAATCCATGCACTAGTGCAGAGGCATTAACACTGGAAGAGAACGACTGCTACTATTGCCCACCAGGTATAGCAATTGTACCGCAATATATTGTGATTGCTAGAAGTGTTTTTTAGAAAGGTTTGTTGAATGCTGAATAAACTGAACATTAATTTTTGGATCATGAACAAGCTGACGTAAAATCGGCAAACATTTTTGAGCCTAATCCTCACTCAGTTGCACATTTTTGGTCAGTAAAGTCATTAAAATAACCATTGTATTAGTTTAGAAATGCGAAGTATCGCTTTTAGGAAGGCTATACAATCGTGGCATTACTACCATGGTGCACAACCTCGGTTCCCGAGTTGAATCAGAATTTTAACTTACAGTGAACTCGTCCGTAAACCCTAAAATGTAAACCGTTCAACACCTTGGTTACTCAGTTACAATGAATTATATCTTAGAAAGCCCAATAAGAGCGGCAGAAGGCTTTGGATCCTATCTGTGCGTGCAGCCAAAAAGTGGTGACTGTAACCCGATTGAAAACCAAACCACGTGGACTCATGGTCTTGTATGGAAACTCGCCGACAAGAACTGTTCAGCAGAGCATATGAAATTTCTTTTCGATGTTGATGGAAAAATTTATCATAAATGTAGTGGAAAGATTGTTTGTCCCCAGGGTAAGAAGCTCCAACGTATTACGCTGTACGTTTTGAAACCCATGGTGGTATAATGCATACTTCTTTAAAAACTGTTCTTTATTTTATGAATAGTCATTCATAAGTCTGTTCCAAAACTTTCTCGATGTTTGTTCTCAATGAAATTTTCCGAACGAACGATATATTTCGAAGAGTTCACAAAGAGTAGAAAACATTTTTGAGATGCGGCCGAGTTCTGATCCGCTGACGTCAATGAATTGCATTTTTACGCAAAACATAAAGCAAGAGTTTGTTGGTGAGTGTCTTTATCATTGATCATGTATTGTATACGTGCAATAAGTACACTAAAAATTAAGTCAGTTTCCTTGAAAAACAAATTCATTAACTATTAAAGGTGGAGAGTGCTTAACAATTCTCTCTTGCCTCTCTCAACGTCGATTTCGGTAACACATACTATCATTCGTTCTGGGGATATTTCGTCCTAGCTCGAGAACGAAAGTGAGAATTGTCCTGAGCAAATATAAGCAATAACAGTGGAAAGCCGGGTTTTGCTCAAACTTATAAAGTTAAAATAAAGAAATAATTCAATTTTACTCTAAAAGGTTCAGGCGAAATGTTTTAGAATATACGAAAAGAATCAAAACCAGTTCTACTCTCCCATAATTAAAAATGGTAAAGAAGAATTTTTTAGAAATACTGAACTGTTCGCCAATATTTTCAAATTTTGAGGGCCTTTACTGAGGTAATTGGTTGTGCGTCAGCGATATCTTCTCTCCCGATGGCACCTTTTCACTTTTGATTGCTTAATGAAAACTTATTCTACAATTGTAGAAGATGGAGATGATCTCAATAACCAGAGACTTATTTTGAATGACACTTGTCCAGATGACATAGCCAGACACAAAAGGTAAGCTGTTTTTACATAGATTCCTAAAATCTTTATTCAATCTCATTTCCCGGACTATGCAGTACTGAAGTGTGCAATATTCGAGCTTTATCATACATAGCTATTTCATAACATTTTGGAGGATATACGCATTTAATGAACACATATCATCCTCAACAAATAATTAATATATTCTTATTATGAGTCAAAATCGCTACTTCCTTGCTAGGACGATAGTCCAACTATCTAGGACTATTAGATAGTTAACCTTTATGTTAGAATGGCTAACGGATTCCTGGAAAAATGCATCTGCTCTTTTGTCTCAGCCGCATGAACTGAGAAACAAATCGTTGCCAGTCAGATTAAAACTCTCAAAACAATTTTACAAGGAAACTAAACTATTTCCCCAAATGAACACCCGTTTTCGA